TTATTCGTATTGTGAAAATTATAATATAGATGAAATACAATTAAGAATAAATCAATGTAATTATGTAAATTCTCTCTATAAGTTTATTTGAATATGCACATAATTAGAGACTATATTAACCATACAAAATTATAATTATAATTATAATTATAATTATAATTTTAATTTTAATTTTGTATTCTATAAAAATAATAAATACTTGACCAATGGAAGCTCAAAAATATTATTATATTAAATAATTTAAAATATTTTAGTTTTTTTTTTATTTATATTTATAATAGCATAATATTTTTTCGTGCATCGCGCGGGTAAATTAATAATTAAAATAATGAGTATATGAGAAAAATATAAAAATAATATAGAGAATAATTATTTTGTATTATTACGAATTGCTTGTGAATAGTGAAGAATGAATAATGAATAATTTTAAATTTTGTGAGGTAACATTTTAGTATTCGAGAAAATTGCATGTGTTGATAGGTGATAGCCTTATCAATTACGGAGTATAATTTTTTTTTGGTTATCCTGTATTAAAATAAGGGAAAATGACACTTTTTCCCCCTGAGTTATATACTTATAGCACTTTTCCCCCCTCAATTATTCAAGTGGCTGTTTTTCCCCCTAAAATGTTATATGGACATATTTACCCTTAAAATAAATATTTTATTTATTTTTCTTCTCTAATAAATTATGACCATAATTTGGTTCAAACCAAATAAACACTATAGCAACCAAACTGAAATATTCCAATTACAATTTAGAATCGAAACTCGATATTTAGAGTTTATTAAAATCCCGGAACGGATGGTTCATGTTCTGAACTGAAAAAATAAAATACATTTATTGTTGAATTTAGACTATTTTTAAAATAAAAATAAAATTTTAAAATAAAAACGGTTCAAAATCGCGAATCGGGTCCGGAACCGCCGGTTCACGGTTCAGGATCCAATTTTTTTGATTCATAATTTTAATAAATTGAAATCCAAATATTGGGTTCTAGATCTGAATCATAACCGGAAAGTTTTAATTCGATTGCTATACTGTCCGATTCAGTTCGAACCGAATCGTGGTCATTCCTACATATACGCAATAATTTGTTGGAGAAGTAAAATAAATAAAATATTTATTTTAAGGGTATAAACGTCAATTTAATATATTAGGGGAAAAAACCACCACTTTTAGAATAATTGAAGGGGCTAATGTGCTTACTTAAATAATTGAGGGAGAAAAAGTGCTATAAGTATATAACTCAGGGGGAAAAAGTGTTATTTTCCCTTAAAATAACTTCAAAATGGAAGTAAAAACAACTCCAAAGGACCAAATCTCTCAAAAAATAAAAAAAAATAAAAAAATCAACTCCAAATCTGATCACCGGCACCAATCGATTTGAGTGGAAACTTTAATTCAAATCATCAAACCGCTATATCTATTCACAACTTTTATCCTTGTCGTTTCTTCACGATCTCACGCTCCTCCCCAATTCGATTTTGCCTTCTCCTTCTTCTTCTTGTCCTAGCTTAGGGTTTTTTTTTTTGATTTCTCAATAATTATTGCCAAGTAAATTTTAGGAATTTTTTCAAGAAAAAGTTTCTTTAGAAAGGATTTAATCAATGTCTGCTTCCACAGTGTCCATCACCGCCAATCCGTCCTCCGTCGCCACCCGCCGCCGAACCGCCGTCGAGAAAAGGCAGCCCGCCGCTTTGGACATTGCCGAATCCAACTTAGCGGCCGCGGCCGCTGCAGCCGCCGTCGCGTCTCCATCCACAGGCAACGATAAACACGCCGCAGGCGACGCTGCTATCAAAGATCTAAGTCAACATTCCATTAGAACGGAAACTAGAGATGCAATTCAAGCGGTCAGGAAGCCCTTGCCCAACTCAAACGGCGCCGCGCCTTCGTCTCGCCGTGCGGGGACCACGAAGAAATCTTCCAAGCCCGAGAAACCGCGCTGGCTCACGGTTGTTAGTATATTCACTAAGAATTTCTGTCTTTTGTTAATCATAGTAGGTTTAATTCAGATGGTTCGGAGAATTTTTTTCGATTCGGGAAGTCGAAATACCGACGGACTCACCGTGATCTCTGACGATTTCGAGGGCAAAGTTGCGGAACTGGAGAATTTTTTGAAGACAACTACTAAGATGATGCAACTCCAAGTAGATGTCATTGACAAAAAGATCCAGAGTCAAATTGAAACCGTGAGAGATGAATTTAGTGAGAAGCTTGAGAAAAAAGGTGCAGAATTGGATGCAAAATTTAAGGAATTGGATGGGAGGAGTGAGAATTTGAAGAAGTTGGTGACCGAAATGGAAACCAAGAATTGGGTGTCTAAAGAAGAGTTTGATAAATTTCTGAATGAGTTCAAGGAGAAGAAAGGTGTTGAGATCAGCGATGTGAGTTTGGATGAGGTAAGGGCTTATGCTAGGGATATAGTGGAGAGGGAGATTGAGAAACACGCCGCAGATGGGCTAGGGAGGGTGGACTTTGCATTGGCTTCTGGTGGGGCAATGGTGGTGAAACACTCAGAGCCCTTTGTTGCAAAGGGAGGGAGTAGCACTTGGATTTCTTTGACTAATCGGTATAGAGTTCATTCAGATGCCCTGAAGATGCTGACACCAAGTTTTGGAGAACCTGGGCAATGTTTTCCACTTAAAGGAAACAGTGGATTTGTCCAGATCAGGCTACGAACAGCCATTATTCCAGAGGCTGTGACACTGGAACATGTTGCTAAGGTGATTCCCTTTTCTATAATACCATAGTAATTTTTATAACAATATCCAATCATAATCTGCTTTACATAATAGCATCCTGCTGCTTTTTGTTATATGTTTCCTCATTGAGTTCTAGCTTCAATTGAACTTGATTACTTTGGGTCGTACTGTAATTCTGTTCTGAACTGGATGCCAGGTTGAATTCTTTTTGTGTAGTGAGTTATAGAGTATAGACACAACATTGGTTTCTCCTCGTCCCTATTTTACTTGGAAAGACTCTTACTTTTAATGGTTTCTTATAGAACAGTTTCAGTATCTTTGCATGGTCTGTTTCTTGTTATATCTAGGGATTGCATTATCATCACATGTTCTCATCTAAAATAGTTATAAGATGTTATCAATGATGTTTGCTATCTATAATATTCTTTATCTTTTAAAAAAGGAAAGAAATATTTTATTATGACAGTAAAATTGGTGTATGACTATCTTTAAAATGGCTATGACTGATTGGTGGTAAGTCATGATTGTGGTGTCTTGAGACATGATACCCTCTATGGTCATAAACTTTTACTAGCAATTAATAATGAAATTTGAAACAGCAAAATTGAGTTGTGACACCCTGTCATGACTTGGAAAAAGATTCTTGTATGCAGATTGCTGTGGAAATATACTTAAATAAATGCCTTAACATATATCAACTATTGATGGGTTTTTTGTCCCTTTGTTTCCTCTGTTCTGTTTAACTTTCCAAATCATTAACCGTCCCTCTTGTATTCCTAATTTGCTTGTGTTTGGAACTTTTCAGCCTCTTTTTTTATTTTTTTTCCCCTCTCCCTTGGCTATACAGAGTTTCTAGTTCTAAGATGTTAACTGCACTTGTTACTGCTTACTCTGTCTATATGTTTGCTTTCATTTTGTTTTATCTTTTCAAAGATTGAATGGAATCTAACTGCAATTTTTCCCTCTTTCTATTTTTTTTCTTTTGCTGATAACATAATTATGCATATTTTCCTTGACAAAGGGTAGTCAGGGACTGAAATTTCAATCTTATTCAAGTTACTTGGCTCATATTTAGTACTTGACAGAAGTTAGTTTTCGACCAGCTATATTTGCAAATTATTTTACACCCATTGATACGCATGATAAAAGGGATAAAAGAGTTTTCATGATTGTTGTTTTTAGTGAGCATATTGACAACCTTTGATTGTTCTTTTTAACGAGTATAATGGCAGTCTAATTAATTGGGGCAGGGTTAGTGGTTGTGCTTGTATTCTGGGGTGTATGGGGATTGGAAAATTACAATTTATCAAGGTTTTACTATTTTTGTAGCAGCTACCAACTTTCAAGTTTGATTGTTAGATTAATATACAGGTGAAAACTATTTTCCATTAAAGTTGGGTAGTTTTAAATTTAGTTTTCAGGGCATTGTGATGAATTTTGGTTACGATAGTAGTGGATTTGTGTTGCATGTTTGTATTTCCTATTAGGTTTTAGATAAAACATGTATATGATGCTCTTTGAAGATCTTGACTACTGATACTTCATTCTGTCATTTGTGTGTTTGGGTGTGGGGAACAGAGTGTTGCTTATGATAGGTCCAGTGCTCCCAAGGACTGCAGGGTCTCTGGATGGCTCCAACGGCAAGATATGGCCGATGCAGCAGTTGATGGTGAGAAGATGTTTCTTTTGACGGAATTTACATACGATCTTGAGAAGACCAGTGCTCAAACTTTCAACGTGCTGGAGTCTGCAGCCTCGAGTGTTGTCGACACAATCAGGTTAGATTTTGGATCTAATCACGGGAACCCTTTGCATACATGCATCTACAGATTGAGGGTACACGGAAGTGAACCCAACTCTGTGTCAATGATGCCAATGGAGTCATGACACTATCATTACTTGGTGGCTGTTGGCATCACTTTGTGCTTTGTCCTATTTATGTTTGTAACCTTCCTAGGTGTTCATTGCTAGTACTAGTAGATGTATCAACAAGTTCCCAATATTATCCTTCCCTATCGTCGTCTTTAGGGAGCATTGTTTTGTACTTAGTTGGAGGGTAGACATGTAAATGTGATTTTCGTTTCTCAGCTTGACATTATCTACTTAAGTTCGAGTTGAAGAACTCGTAGACTAGAAATTTGGTAGCAAGTCATGCTCTTGTAAAACTTGGAGTACCCTCGTAAACAATTACTCTTGCCTCGTTCCTTAGTTTGCCAGAAAATGGTTGTGTAAAATACTCTGTTAGCAAAATGATTGCAATATTCTCCTTAATCCTTATTTCTTCCCCCCTCCTTAAGTGTTGATTAGAATTTGAACAAAAATCAAAGGAGTTGTATTCATTAGAATTAGATTACATGTACATAAGACAGTTTGTCCCTTCTGGGGCTACAACAAGCCTTGAGAGAAAGGTATATTAGTATAGTTGAGCCAAGTATCCCCCATTGTAAAATTATACACAGTGAAATTCAGCGCTTGTGAAGCGTTCATCACACTATACCCAGGCCACTGAACTCTCATGCTAGTATTAGCCCCGCCGCCATAGTTCTCAAACTCCCCATAATAAACCGTATCCAATCCCCCCGTCGTCCCATCCCACTCCAACCACCCTGCAGGATCGATCAAATCTCCGATATAAGACTGCATAAAAACCGACCGAGAATACACCTTCCACGGCCGCCCCAGAAAATTGCTCGTCGAGTTCAGCTCCTCTGCGGCCTGGACGGTGCAGTTATGAATGGAAATCCCAGTGTTCTGGTTGGGATCGGTTCGCCCTTGGGCCGTGAAGACGTTCTTTTGGTTGGGTAGGGGTCTGCGAGCGTAGAGGTTGCAGTTCTGGAGAATGGCGGCGGCGTTGCCGAACACGAAGTCTACTGTGCCGTAGACGTCGCAGTCGCGGTAGAACTGGCGGAGGGAGTGGGTGTATAGCGTGTCCTGATAGCCTTCGAAGCTGCAGCGGTAGAAGGCCGAGAGATCGGCGTTGTTTCGAAGCGCCACCGCCTGGTGCTTTGCCGGACCCGCTGTGTTCCTAAACGTCACGTCTATGGCCAGGAACCGCTCCCCATGAACAGCTGCATTTATATATCAGAATTGACATAATAAAACCATCAAAGTCAATGACCTAAAAAAATCAGTATAGTGCGTGAAAGATAACCAAAAGTGGCAGATTTGTAGGTTGTCCAGCCATCGGCCACACTGCGGTTTCCGACGATGATAGTGCGGTTGATCCCGTCGCCGATGAGCATTATGTTCCTCTTGTGCTTCCCCACCACAACGTTCTCTTCATAGTACCCTTCCTTTGCGTATATCACAAAATAGCCGTCTTTGATCTTGGTTTTGTTGGGTGCATGTGCAATGGCCTCTCCGATTGAGGTGAAGTTAAACCCCAACTCTCCATCACGACTAACCCTCACCATCCCCCTCACCTTAACCCCCATGCCCAGCTCTTCAACCATTCTTCCTTCCCTTTCACTCGACTCTAACACCTGCTTTACAAAATGTTGTTCATTTCATTTACTTTTATACTTACTAAGTAAATAAATAATAGATGTGGTCGAGCAGCATAGTTGTGGATAACATAGGCTTACTTACTGAGAAAGTATGTTTGAACAGATACTACATTGTAATAGGAGTCGACAGTATTCCAAAAAATAAATAAATAACAAAGGACAAATATAACTACACAAGGCAAATCACCAAATAACAAGAATTATTTCTAGTCCATATTTAGCCATAATACTTTTTTATGGGGAATAAAAAATTCCAAACTTTATGCAAAAGGGTACAAAATCTTTGGTATTCTCCCCTTAATGTTAAGCTATATTATATTCCTTCCTGTACGTTTCTCTTTAGTGTCTCCATACTATCCTATCCGTTACAATATACTACGTAATTGTCTCCACACCGCAAGTCGGATATATATTAAAGTGTTTTTTTTTTTTTTAATACATTAAGTTTCTCAACTTAAGTCAAACTAATTCTAAGTTCTCTAAATCCTTGTTTGCTCAAGAGTGATAGAAGAGGTAAATTACAAGTAGTCCCATCAATCTCAAGTTTTTATCCCTTGTGTGTACCCTCTGCGCACAAGGGTATTCATAACCTATATTCGGTCAAGATCAGATCTCGCCATTACACTCAAATTATCAGTGGAGTTAAAATTTTGTATTAAGGAATTTCTCCCAAAAGACTGAATCCCCAATCTCATGGGCTCCCACATCCCGATCCGACAAAGCATTTGGAAGAGATATAAATCATAGTGATTTAATAACTCAACTGACAAGATCAAGTGCTGGTGCGCACAAAAAATTTGTCCACTTTAGACATAATTATCACACTGTCATTGTCCCTTAAGCCAGCTCCCGTGCCAGTCGGAGTAAACGGGTATTAATCGGGTGGACCGTTAAACGAAAAGAGAAGTGAGAGAACCCAAACAAAAAACTGAGGTTCAAAGTTGGTTGATTACAAAATTGTGATTTTTTAGGGATTAAAATACTTAAAGAGTATTTTCCAAAAAAAAAAAATACTTAATAGTATTATTTTAAATGTGCTAGCGTTGGGAGGGAAGCCGTAATTATATTATGCAAGGAAAAAAGAAATTAAAATATGATTGATGATGTTTACCTTGGTGGCCACAAAGCTTGGGTTTCGCGTCCAGTCAAACGCCTCCAACATACCTCGCGGCCGGTGGCCCATTTCGCCGGCGGCAACCTTCCGCCGCCGTCCCAGGGAGTGGCTAACCAGCCCGAGCGACACGCTGTACAGCTGCGACGCGTTACTGAGCGGCACATGCAATGCATCCACGATTTTACTGCCGGCGTCTGCGAGGCCGTCGTGGCACGTCTGCTGATTAGTCACCACCGCGCTCAGCAGCGCCTCCACCCTCCCAACCATCACATCCGTCGTCGAGCGGCGGTTGTCGGTGGCCCTCAGCTCCGCCGCCGCGAGCCGCAGGTAGTCGACGGTGAGTTCGGCGAGGTGGGCGCAGTCGTCGAGCGCGCTAACCTCTCTGGCGCTGACAAGCATTGGGTGACGACGGAGGAAGCGGGTGATGGTGGCGGATAATGTGGTGGCGTGGTTGATGCATTGGTTGACGGAGAACTCGCCGTAGGCGGCGGAATCCGGCAAGGAGCGGCGGAAAGAGGAGAGAATGGTGTGGCAGAGTTTGGGGTAAAGGGTGGATTTGCATGCAGTTGAGGGTGATGGGTCTGAGATTCCAGGCTGAGCTGTGGAGAAAATTAAGAGAAAAAGAAGAAGAAAGAGAAAGAAAGGTGTGGAGTTTTGCATTTTCTTTTTGTGATCTTTTGGGAGAAAGGGAGAGAGCGAGTTTGGTCTTTAATTTGGGTTTGGGGGATTTTATAGCAAAATCAAAATTAAAGGTGAGAATACAAAAGAGAAAGAGTATTATTGTTCCCAAAGTTAGGGAGAAATTATTGTTCCCAATTCTCCACCCTAAGGCCCTCTATGTTCTGCCTGGAGAAAGTATATGGAAAGATGTAAATCATGGTAACTCAACGGAACACAAATGTTAGACATTTGTTTACTGTGCACAAAGAGTCCTCCCACTTTAAGAGGTTACTCATACTGCTACTGATTTGATTTGATCTCAAGTCATTATTCTCAAATTTCATCAATATGACCAACTGAATTTGCTGTAAATATAAGGTCATTAATTAGGACATGGAGTGATTCACATGCATGTGCCATCCTTGTTCTAGGTATATTAGGAATATAATACTCTTTGGATGGGCATCTATGCATTCCAAGTTTCGTTTACCATTAGACTTATCAAGTCAACCTCTTTCATGCCCGTATGGGCAGCTCAACTAGTCATAAATGTAAAGTTTAAAAAGAATGACGAAGGATTGTGCGAAAAGTATGCTCTGGGGCGCTTAGGGATGAAGTTCAACCTTTTGACAGAAGTCAACCTCTTTAATTGGTTCAATTTCTCATATATAGCCGTAAAGTCTCTTAAGAATTTAAAGAATTGAAATAATAACCAAAAAGATTGGCTCTAGTCAAGGAGGTCGAGTCTTGCAATATGTGATTGAATAATAATATTATATATATATATATATATATATATATATATATATATATATAAACATAAATGTCACTTATTTAAAGAAAGCAATTGAAGATCGTTCGACAATCGTTGATTTTTTCCCTTCAAAGCATCACTGGAATCCTAATGACATGTTATCATCAATTTTTGGGCTTCAATATATTATCATCAGTTTTTGAGCTTTAATGTACTAAAATAACATGTTAATGTACTTAGTACAATCGTTATATCCTACACCACGGCGCACATAGCACTGTGCGCCGCGCGCCTCCCAAAACGACGTCGTTTTGGGGTCGTGTTGGGAGGCGCGGTAGGAAGTTGCTGAGATTATGTGTATTCGTTCACAACGTTATGTATATTCGTTCACAACGTTATATGTATTGGTTCATACAGTTATGTGTATTTTTTATACAATTATGTACATTGTTTTTATACAATTATGTACATCCGAATCAGAAAATTTGTGCGTATTATGTTAAGAGTTGATGTGTATTATGTTAAAAGTTTATGTTTATTATGTATTATGTTAGATTATGTGTATTATCTTTTAAAAAGAGTATGTATATTTTGTTATAACATTATGTGTATTCATGTATAACATTATGTGTATTCAAGTATAACATTATGTACATTCTTGAACAGCGGGTTTTTTTTTTTAAAGAAAAGCCTACTGCCATTCACTGGGGCGGAAAATTTCAAAAAAAAAAAATAATTAAAACGACGTCGTTTTGCATCTGGGCGCATAGTGCAATGTACGCCGTGGTGTAGGATATAAATTGCCGTACTTAGTATATACTGTACTTAATTGCAACTTTTAAAAGTTCAAACATCTAATTAATTTCTTATATAAAGTTCAGTACTATTTGACCCTTTTTTCCTTTAATAAAAAAATGATAAAGGTTAGTAGTGCCAGTTTTTTTTTTTTTTTTTTGTTTTTTTGTTTTTTTTTTTTGTGCCCCGTTCTTATAAATAAATGAGGTCATACTAAAAGTATAAGTACAATTTTTATAACCAATATTGTAAAATATATGATTTTTTTTTTTATATTTCAAATAAGTATGAACGGTGTAACACCATTAAAATCACAGTTCCTACTGTAAAATATATGGTTTTTATTTCAAATAAGTATGAAAGGTATAAATATTAGGCCCTTTAAAAATTAAGATCATGTGTTATTGCCTATCTTGCACGCCCCAAAATTTGTTCCGGTTAGATATATATATATATATATATATATATATATATATATATATATATATATATATATATATATATATATATATATATTAGGTTAAAGTAGGGAAAAACGATGTCAATAAAAAAAAACGTGTAAATGTAAGGATCGGAAATAATGCATTAATAAATCGTTAAAATACTATAATGTTTAATTAAAATAAGAAATAAAATGTCCAAAATATTCTTAAACTTGAATATTTTAATTGTCCACACATTTATTAGCACATTGTTTTTTTTTTTTTAAATACAAAGTAAAAAGAAATACATAAATTAGAAGAAAAAAACTAATTAAATATAGTGTTTCAACTTGAGAAATTAGGGAAAAAATCATAGAAAATTTGTAACTAACTAAAAGAAACAAGCAAATAACAATGTTATGCATCATTAGAGTCGTTGAATAAAAAAACATTTCTGCGAATAATTTTGTGTACAATAGAGTTTAGAAGAAGAAGAATAAAAAAAAAAAAAAGTATCAGCCTTGTTTGGTATAATAGTCACCCTATCAGTTAATTTTGACTTATTTGTCCACTATTAATTGTTTGACTTGGTTAAAAAGATTATGAATAAGGTTCAAATTGGCCACTGAACGTAACCTGAAAATGCAATTAGGCCACTGAATGAAAAAAAAGTGCAATTAGGCCACTGAACACTCCAAAAATGTGCAATTTCACCTGATAGAAGGTTACCTCAATTTTAGCAGGTTATCTGCTTACGTGGCAGCTGAGTTGGCATTTTTAATAAATTTTAAATCATTTTTAATAAATTTTAATAATAAATTTTTATTTAAAAAAATTTTTAAAAAAATAAAAACGACTTTATTTTATTTTTTATTTAATTTTTTTTTCAATTTTTTATAAAATTTATTATTAAAATTAATTATTAAAAATTATTTAAAAATTATTAAAAATGCCAACTCAGCTGCCACGTAAGCAGGTAACCTGCTAAAATTGATGGTAACCTGCTACCCGGTGAAATTGCATACGTTTGGAGAGTTCAGTGGCCTAATTGCACGTTTTTGAAGTGTTCAGTGGCCTAATTGCACTTTTTGTTCGTTCAGTGGCCTAATTGCATTTTCAGGTTACGTTCAGTGGCCAATTTGAACCTTATTCCAAAAGATGAATATAAGTATTTGGTTAATTAGCTTTTTGTAACTTAGCTTCAAAATGCTAAAATTTTAAAAAGTTACACAAATCATCTTTTTACTTAGCTTTTTGAAAAAAAAATAAATTATATCAAACAACTAATTTACCAAACATATTTCTATAATCAGCTAACAGCTCACAACTATCAGCTAACAGTCATTTACCAAACATGGCCAAAACAGGGCCATCACGTGAGCTGTAGGAAATAAACATAAGCTAGGAAGGTGAGAAAAGAGGGCATGTAAACCGTGTTCATGCCGTCATGAGAACAGATTTCGGGCTTCAACTAGGTTTTCACTACAAAATTTAGTCCGCAATTCAAACTAACTCAAAGTATAGGGGTTGAATAGTAATTAAATAGTGCATAACTTGTAACTTAATGCAATAATAATAAGAGATATAGGGGTTGAATAGCAAATAATATATAACATGTAACGTAATATAATGCGAGAATAATGGCAAAAAGAGTATTTTATTGTTCATACGTTATAAAGTTATGGAGAAATTTTCTATTGATAACAATAGATCGATACATGATACCCTAATTACTATAATTAAACTAGTGTGTTTGAAAAATAAAACTAAAATCTAGATTTATACAATAACATATATTGTTAAATGAACTTGAGGTGTAATTAAAATAATACTTCAGAATACTATAATTAAATTAGTGTGTTTGAAAAATAAAACAAAATAATAGAGTTCATGCAATAATGTATATTGTACATCAAATGAAATTATAATAGAATTAAAATTATACGTTGGTATTGCTATAATTAAACTAATGTGTGTAAAAAATAAAATTAAACAATATAATAATATTGTCAAATGAAACTGAAGTGCAATTAGAATGATACATACTTCATAGTTCACACTCTTACGTGAACCATGTTTCACAATAAAATTTGCCGATGAGTCCCCGATTAAAAAGTGCTAAGTACATGTAACATATCATGTTAGAAATATACAAAAATACCCGCACGGGCTTAGCTCAATGGTTTAGTGGACAATATTTGGGGTAAGAGACTAAGGTTCAAACCTCGGCAGCGGTGCACCGGCATTTGACCTTGCCTACTGACCAAACCCTAAACCCTATTCAGCCTTTGGGGTAAGAAATATACAAAAATGAGCGACCTCCAACCTTAGTTCTATTCCCAGATGATGTATGTGTAGGATTTGCTCTAATTAAGAGCAACCACAACAATAAAACTCAAATTGGCTTTTTTTTTTTTTTTTTTTTTTTTTTTGGGTTAGCTGGAAAGATAAATGAGAAAAAAATTTGCTAGAAAAAATATATATTGAGCATTGGTAACGGTTTTTTTTTTTTTTTTTTTTTTTTTTTTTTTTTTTTTTTTGTCTAGGTTAGCTGGAGAGAGAAATTAGAAAAAAATTGCTAGAAAAAAATATATTGAGCATTGGTGACGCGTGCAGCAGTCGCGTGCAAGACACGCGCTTGCTAAGTGCAATTTGTGGGTCAAAACGTAACTTACACCGACTCCTTTTTATCCTCTCAAAAACTATGTAGTCACACATGTATTATTAGTTTGAGTTGATTTTTTATTTTTTTTTATTGTTTTTCTCCCCCACATTATATGAATTGCCTCAAAAAAAGAAAAAAAATATTCTCGCCGATATATATGCTTTAAGGATGCATTTGCTATTTGAATGTATATTTTTCAATTTGAAAACAAAGAAAGTAAAAAAAGAAAAAAAGAAAAAAGAAAATGAAGAACTAAAAAAATGAATGCAAACGCAAAATAGCAAGGATAAATGAAATGGTGATCTCTGTAACTAAAACATTACAATAAGAGAAATAGACAAACTTAAATGGAAGGCTACGCCATTCAATTTGGTTTTGAATAAATCACAAAAGTGGCATGTTAGCCCATGAATTGCTTGGCGATTGGTAATCCTAGAATCCAACATGCATTGAGTTTGTCGCCCCTTAATTTTTATGCATGACATTTGAATCATGTGTTATATATATACCTCATCCCAAGTCCTTTATTATTTTGGTTATTTATTTGTATTGATTGCTATCTCCCTAGCTTATACCGACATCCCTATTCTTGTTTTGAGATACTTTTCAAGATTATGTCTAAACAACATCCTAATGAACGATAAAATAAACTTCTTTGTTTGATTTTCACCGAGATCATTATCTGTCTATCAAAATAGACCTTGGGTTTGAAGCACGTGACAACGCCGCCTAGATAACCCAGTGCATGTCTAATAAGTGCCATGATAAGAGGAAAATGCGACATGTATTGCGCAACATGGGATAAGGGCATCCCCATTAAAGAGATTTTACAAGTTTTTTGCAGGTGGGAGTGTATAGGTGGAGGAGAGAGCTGGAAGAGAGAGAAGAAATAGGGGTGTTGTAGGAAGACCTTGGTTTTTTCAGAAATTGTGAGTCCACCAGATTTCCTTGTTTCTCCGCCTGGCAGCTTGCAAGGTAAAAAGCGCCCAGTCGGGTGCGTTTAGAGTCCTTTTTATTATTATTTTTCTTTTTTGTTTTGCTGACATTTCAATTTTTGTTTGTTTATTTTTTTGTTTTGTTTTGTTTGATTTTTTTTTTTTTTTACCTCCTCCTCCATTTTCTCTTTCCTAATTAGACCTACAAAAACTCCTCAAAAATCTCACTATTAAGAGTGTCCTAATATTATAATGATGAGGAGTGAAGGTTGTACCTAATATATATATTCCATATAATGAGTAAAGGTGTAGGATTAGGATAGAAAAAAAAAATGTAACGTATGTATATATCTTTATTGGTGTATCATGATTAGCGGTAGGTTACAAATACATATATGGAATAGCGTGTGTGTAGTAATCTCTATCTCTATCTCTATCTCTATATATACTATATTAAAGTAAAATGAATAGAGAAACATTTTTTCGTCCAAAGTGTGAAAATATTTAGGGTGTGTTTGGTTGGAGGGTTTTGCCCATAGGAATGGGTATGAAAGTGATTGTTGTTGTTTGGTTGATAGGTTTTTAGAACACTACTATGGGTTTCAAATACCTCATCAATTGAAAAATCCATACCCAAATAAAATAACAGGGCGTTTGGTTGGAGGGATTTTAAATTCCCTTCCCACTTAATTCCCACCTAATTCCAAAGACCATTAAATTCCGTAGTTTGGTTGGAGGGAATTGGAATTCCATGGAATTGCAATTCCCCCATTTTCATGGAATTAAAATCCCATGTCCCCCCCCTGGTATTTTAATTCCTGGGAAAAAAAGATAGTGATGAGTCAAAATTACCTCTTCATTTTTTAACCTAAAATTAATGTCTAACAACAATAATGGACATTTTTGACTTTATACTACTTATTCCCTTTCAATTCCCATGTATACCAAACATTGGAAATGAAATTACCAGTAATTTTATTCCTGTCAACCAAACACTAGAATTTAAATTCCCACTTTATTTCCAATAATTCAACTCCCATGGAATTACAATTCCTTTCCCACATAATTCCCTCCCTCTAACCAAACGCCCTGTAAGGGTTTCATTCCCTTATTCATTCTCAAGCACTATTATTAGTAACCATTCCCATTCCACCCTACTACCAAACATGTTAAATACTTTCACCAAAACTCATTACCATTACCAAGTATTTGATACTCATTCCGATTCCGATTCCTATGTGCGAACCAAACACACCCTTATTGTATTCACATTACTTTATAAATTCATGTAATTTTAATTACAAATCAAATGAACATCAAGAAGCATGAATCAAGAAATGCGCAGTAGACATGAAGAAAAAGCTGCGGATAAAAATCATACATTGCTTCTGAACATGGGGCTTCGATTATTGGAGTTGTTCTTTCTTGGAAGCGGAGGTAACTGTTAGCCGTAGCTCATGAACGCGAAGAAGAAACAACTTACGTAAAAAGACTATTTTGCCTTCATGAATAAAATTTTTAAAAAGATTTAAGTTTTTTCGACCAATTTTCACCGGTGATTTGGCCGGAAGGACCAAATCTGCTAATTAAAAAAACATAGTTAAAGGACTAAATTGTTAGTTTTAAAAGTCATGGAGCGAAATTAACACGCTCCTTATAATCATAGGACCAAAAGTGTAATTTGCTCATTTGTTAAATTAATAATAGTCTGTGCATCGTACGAGACACTTACTAGTTTATATATATATATATATATATATATATATATATATATATATATATATATATATATATATATATATATATATATATATATATATATATAAAGAATAAGTGTCAAATAGGATATCGAACTATACACCAAAATGCAATTAGGTTATTGAACTCAAAAACATACAATTAAGTCCCTTAACTAATCAATTTCATGCAATCAGTTCAACCTATTACCTCCTACATAAGGGAGCAACTTAGTACCATTGGACCACAAGGTCCTTGGTACATCGACACCTTTTTATCCTCTCAAAAATTTTGCATTCACATGTATCATTAGTTTGAGTTGATTTTTTTTTTTATTTTCTATTGTTTTTCACCCCCACATTATATGGAAGTTAAAAAAAAAGAAAGAAATAAAAGAAAATGAAAGAACTAAAAATATGAAAGCAAATGCAAAATAGCATGGATAATGAAACGGTGATTTGCGCAACTAAAACATTACAACCAGAGAAATAGGCAAACTTTAATAGAAGGCTACGTCATTTAATTCGGTCTTGCATAAATCACAAAAATGGCATGTTAGCCCTTGAATTGGCGATTGATAATCTTAAAATCCAACATTTCCTTAATCTTTATGTATGGCATTTGAATCATGTGTTATATATCCTCATCCCAAGTCCTTTATTATTTTGAATATTTATTTGTGTTGATTGCTATCTCCTAGCTTCTACCGATATCCCTACTCTTGTTACTTTTTAGAATTATATCTAAACGACATTTCAATGAACATTAAAAATAGCTTCTTTGTTTAATTTTCACCTAGATTATTATTTGTCATATCAAAATAAACATTGGATTCGAAGTACGTGTCAGTGCCGCTTAAATAACCCAGTGCATGTCTAATACGTGCCATGATAAGAGGAAAACACGGCATGTGTTGTGCATGCCACGTGCCATGACAAGAGGAAAACGCGGCATATGTTGCGCAGACCGTCTATGTAAGCATTAAACTCACCTTCAAAGGGGGTCCTTTGTTGATTAGAGAAAAGATAATTTACCATGAGAGGAGAGTTATCTTGTAAGAGTTTGATAGCTTATTTTGCAACATCACTACCCAATTTTTATTTACAATTGTAAGCATGATACTTTTGTTGATACCCTGAAATTTAAAGATGAACACAAAAGCTTACTTAGTACCATTTCACGTAAGATGATCTCAACTTATAATTTGTCTTGTTTATAAATAGAGTAAATATTCAAAATGGTCCCTCGACTATAGCTAAATTCACAAATTGGTCATCGACTTTCAATTTCAACCAATTAAGTCATTAACTTTGTAATTTTAACACAATTTGGTCCTATGTCTATTTGACCGTTTGTTGACTGCGATTTTTGAGGATATATATGTAATTTCATGGTCTATCGTCGATTTTTTAAGGTTGCAGTTGCATTTCCAGATCGCACTATTACATTTGAATCCACTGCCGAAAGCAATCTACCAAATCCGGTCGCCTTTCTTCATCCTCCCTTTGGATTCAATGTAGTTGAGTTCGAACCAGAGTGAAGAAGACGACGTGTTTCCGAACCGGTGCAACGTCATCCTGGAGGCCTCCACATGCTCCGACGAGAGCTGAAGGTTCTTCTGGAGATCGTCGATCACGGTCAACAAACGGTCAAATATATGGAGGACCAAATCGTGTCAAAATTGCAAAGTTAAGGATTTAATTAGTTGAAATTGAAAGTCGAGGACCAATTTGTGAATTTAGCTATAGTCGAGGGACCATTTTGGATATTTACTCTTATAAATATAATGACATTTATTAATTTATTACTCAAAACACCATTTAAAAATTTAAAACTCACTTATTAAAAAAAAAGTATTATGACATAATCAATATATTAAATATATCCTTTTACATGTATATAAATATTTTTTAGGTATACCCAGAATATTTACCATCTAATATAGTGACTAATTCTTTTGCTTTTAAATTGTAAGTACTTCTTTTGTCCAATATTTTTTTTAATGGAAAATGATTTTTTTTTTTTTTTTGGGAGTATTGTTTTTCAAGATTTGTAATTGGGTGGGTTAAAGTGTTACGGCTAAAAATCTCAGGGGGGTCAAGCGAAATTCTCAACCTCTGATATCTACTGTTGAGATTCTGGGAACGCCTAAACGCAGAGGGTGAAAATCCCAAATCCCTCTACTCTACTCTGCTCCTGATTCTTGAAGCTTCAAACTTTAGCAAGCGGTGGCCTCGATAAGGTGAAATTCCAAAGCTCTCTAATTCAATTCATTTCGTTGCCACTTTGTTCTTCAAGATTTCGTTTTTTTTTTTTTTTTTTCACAGATCTTTAACTCCTAGTTGCTACGCTGATTTATTTTCTCGTTCTTTGTTTCCAAATCCATTAGTCCCAGTTGGTACTGTCGATTTACCTTCTTGCTGTATATCCCAGGAATTCTTGAGCTTTTTCGCGACTGACATTTGGGTAACATGGTAAGCTTTCATTCCGTTCTTGAATTAATAGAAAACAAAAAAAGAAGTGTGTACTGAAATTGTCTTGACTCTAGAATGTGGGCAGTGAATTTTTATTTTTATTTTTTAAATTTGTTTCTCAGATACCAGCGGATTGGTCGAATTTGCCTGTTGAACTTTTGGGGTTAATTGCGAGTAGGCTTCCTTTTGCTTTAGATTATGTGAGGTTTGGTATGGTATGTCGGTCATGGAGGAGGGTTGTGGTTGAAAATGGGTCTTCTCCACCCTCATTTCTTCCATGGCTAATGCTATCTCAGAAGATTAACTCAGATCTGCGTGGGGTGTGTTATCCATATAAAAATAGGGCCTTTTATCTTCACTTGCCAGAACTTAATAATAAGCGCTGCTGGGGATCTCCTTTTGGTTGGGTGGTCACTCTCGACTCTAATTTTCAATTGCGCTTACTGAATCCGTTATCGAGGGCACAACTGATGCTCCCACCCCTGCATAAATGCCCGAATTTGAAGAACATGGTTTGTAGTCCCAAGAGTTTTCGCAATCGTTTTGTGTACAAAGCAGCCTTGTCATCGAGCCCGTTGAGTTTGGATTTTGTAGTTCTAGCTATCTATTCCGACAATGAGAAGATGGCGATACTGAAGGCGGGTAGTCATACTTGGACTCCGTTGGAATGCTGCCCGGGTTACGTTGATGATGCGATTTGTTTTGACGGGATAGTGTATATTGTAAGCAGTTCGGGCGAGATTGTGATTTGTGATTGCCAAGGCAGCGTTTTGCAGAAAATAATTTTCACGCCATTGCAGGAAGAGGTCGTGGATCCCGAGTACATTGCTGCATATCTCGTTGAAATAGATGGGCAGATATACGTTCTTTGCAGACTCATGTTCGATACAAGAAACAACGATACTCCTTTCCATCCTTACCTGAGGACGAAGCGGTTTGATGTTTACAAGCTGGACCTGGGCAATGGGAAATGGTACGAAATACAATCGTTGGGCGATTGGTCAATCTTTATAGGCAACAACCACTCTTTCTCAATATGCACCAACGAATACCCGGAATGTGATAGTAATTGCATATACTTCACGGATGACTACTCGGGTGTGTCACACAACACCCCTACCAGCTATGATACGGGTGTTTATAATCTCGAGACTCGGAAGATACAATGGCTTGCTCAGGATGATATCTCGGTGTTTTCATTCTCTGTACCAGTATGGTTCAAACCAAGTTTATCCTAGTCTTCATTACCTAGCTCCTCTATCATGTAGACTGTATATTACTAGCCAAAAAGCTGGCCTTTACATGCATGATGACTCTGCTTAATCCTGGATTTGTTGCAACTTTCAAGCTGAACAATTTGTTAGTCTTTTTGTATTGATTTATAGGCATCCCAGTTCCAAAGGAGTTTCTGTGGCAAAAATGTGTGTTGATAATATTGTGCTGTATTTTGTGAAATTGTAAAACAGGAATGGTGGATAGTTAGGTACAAGGGATAGCAACAAGAAGATGTTTCCTATAAAAACCAGTCACATTTATGTATAGAAAACCTAACTCTTAATCTTAGCCAGAAGAATGGGAATGCAAACCTGATAGTTGAGTGAAAGAGATTCATTCACCCTTAAACGTCAAGGGTTTGATCCTTAGCCTTGGTATAGAGCAACTTTAAATAAGTGAGGGAATGAATCTGTCAGTCAATAGTCAATAGTTCTGGAACTTAGGTTTAGTCTGGTAATTAGGATTAGTCTAGCGGCATAAGTTAGAACTGGTGACTTAAGTTAGAATTAGTAGTTTTGAAACTTAGGAGAAACTGGTAGTTCTGGAAATTAGGATTAGTCTAGCGGCGTAAGTTAGAACTAGTAGTTCTTGAGTTTAAGATTAGTCCGGTGACTTAAGTTAAAACTAGTAGTTTTCAAATATAAGATTAGTCTGATGTGTGAGAAATTTAATGTATCAAACAAAAATTGTATACAGGGGAACCTTGCAAGCTTTTATAAAGGACACCTCTCCATTAATATAAATATCTTGAGAAGGAGTTGTAGTATATTGTTAGAATATTAAGGTCATTTCTTGATTACAACCTAGAGGTACAATGAAAGTTCCTGAAGGTCTAATTAACAAAAAGCCCGAGATCCAAAAAAGTCTTCAACTTGCACATTCAAACTAATTGTATTTTCAGGGGTGGGTTAAAGGTTAAGAAATTTTTATTATAACTTGGAGACCCAATAAAAGAATTCAAGAACAATTTAATTTCCTTCAAATAATGTGTAGAGGAGTCCAAGGAGGCCCAAACATATGATGACATGAAACTCAGCTCCATTTTGGCCAATTGTTATGCCGTGGAACCGTGCTATTTTCATAATTATAAAATTCTATGTTCATAATTTTTGAACATTATATTCACAATTATTGAATTCTATATTCACAATTATAAAACTCTATGCTCATAATTTTTGAACTCTATATTCATAATTTTTGAACTCTATATTCACAATTATGACAGTTTTAGAACCGTGTCCACAACATAATTTGCCCATTTTGCTAAATGTAACTAATCTTGTTAGAGCAATCACAATAGAGATTTTTGCTCAATTTTTGAGTCAGAAAAAAATTAGGAATTGATTTTTATACACCTTTATATTTTGAAGAGATGATTTCAAAATTGATTGAAAAATAATTGAATGTTTCTAAAAGGTCAAGATAGTTTTAAACGTAAGAGAGAATCATGATACTTAATTTGATATTTTTTTATTCCTATACTTTTTATTTGACTATACCTATTTGGCATTTTGGAACTATATATTGTATTAGTCTAAATTAGGAGTTAATTTTTGACACTACTTCTAGCCAATTTCAAGCCATTTATAGGTAGAGCTGTCAATGCGGGTTGGCGGGGCGGGACTCGCCAAAGCCCGTTTTTAATATGGGCCTAGGTAGGGGCAACATGCCCCATAGGCCCCTTAGGCCCGCGGGCCCCTGCCAAAGCCAGTCATTTTATTTTAAATATTTATTTACCATGTGTTCCTAAAGTCTAAACTCTAATGTGTCTATGTTAATGACTTAATTGTTATCTACTTAAAACACTTATCCATCACATATCTAATAAATTTAAAAACAACTACTCAAATATTGAAATATATTATAGGGACTAGGGAGTTACGCTTAGGGCTTTTAGAGTTTTAGACTTTTAGGGGCCGTTACTAAATGGAAATTTCTGGAAATTTTCGGAAACTGGAAAATAGAAAATAGAAAACATGTTTACTAATATAGTTTCCATTTTCAAAACTGAAAATAATTTCTGAAAATTTTTGGAAAACTGAAACACACTTAAAACTGTTTTCGAGGAAAACAGAATCATCTATCATCTATTTAGTTATATGTCACTATAACCACATTAGTATGATTACATTCACTATCATCTTATTTTACTAATTACTTATCACTATCTTCTATCTTTTCTACTTTACTTATTTAAACATAATTTATTTGCTTACACTTTAAAGTTAGACATTATTTACATTATCAAAATTAAGAATTAAATTCTATATAATGTTTTAGATTTTGATTGAACTCAACAGATTATTAGTTCGAATATTTTTAATTATGTTATATCATAATACAAGTTCGACTCAGATATCGGCTATTGAATCTCACATATATTAGAATTCAAATTAAAAGTTATATATTCATATACATGTCATTCAAATGAATATATCCAATTTTTTTTTTTTTAAATATTAGCTCAAAAAATATTAATATTATCTAAACTAAATTTTAAATGAAAACTGCAAAATTAGAAAACAGAAAACAATTTTCTGTTAGTAAACAAGTTTTCTAAACAGAAAACAGAGAATGAAAACTGAAAAATTAACAAACAGAAAACAGAGAACAGTTTTCTGTTAGTAAACGGTCTCTTAGTTTTTACTTTCTAGTTTCAGTTTTATTTTATATTTATATTTTTATTTTAGGAATTTAGCCATTTAGGATTAGGATTAGGATTTAGAACTTAAATAAATGAAAAGGCGGGCTAGCGGGCTAGCCCGTCAGTCCGCCCCGCCTAGCCAACGGGCTACAAAAAGGTGGGCAAAAAAGCCCATTTTTTATACGAATTTTTAAAACACGAGCCCGCTCCGCCTTTTTGGCAGGACGGGACGGAAAAGCCCGGCGGGCAAAGCCCGTTTTGATTGCTCTATTTATAGGTTATCTAGTTAAAGTCTCTCATTGTACTAGTTTTAGAGGTGAACGATTTAATTTAGTTTTTAAAATCTTCTATTCTCTCCTAACATGAGAGGAATTAGAGTTCTTGAGTGATTTAAGATCTTATTACACGTTTTTGGGTTAAATGTGAAATTTAGATTAGAGTTAATTATTGAAATAGTCCTCTGACTATAGTTAAATTACCAATTTAATCATTGACTATTTTTCTTAACCAATTAAGTCCCTCAACTTTAAAAATCTTAATTAATTTAGCTCTCCGTTTATTTTCAATAGACATCCGTTAACTCGGAACGAAATTGATAATTTTACTATAGTCAAGGACCATTTCGGTCATCACATGCGCTATTTTCTCCGAAAGTTAATTACTAAAATGGTCCATTTTTTTTTTACCAATTTGATCCTGAGTTAACTGATGTCTAACGACAAAATAAACAGAAGACCAAATTGATAATTTCGCTATAATTAATGGACCATTTTAGTAATTAACTCTTTAGATTATCTAAGTTAGTTAACATACAGAACATGCAGGGTTGTCAATTGGTTGGTTTGGTTATTCCTAAATTTGAGAGTTTAATTCTTATATTTGCGTGTTTTTATTGAGTACTGATCGAAAAGTTAACATACTAACTCAACCATGTTTTAACATAAATTTTTTAAAATAAAAATAAAAGTAATTTTTTTTTGGAGTGATTCTCCCATATGGGAGGTGGTGTTGGCTCCTCTTTGTGTTTCAACTGGTTGAGAAAGTACTACAATGTAATAGAGTCCGTAGTTTTCAAAAAATAATAATAAAATATCTAATCACAAAGCTAATTAAGTTGACTAAGTCATAATAATGATTTGTCTCTTCCTCTTCAGCTCCTTCCTAATACCAATTATTCTCTTGTTGTTATCTGCACATACACATACACATACACATACATTAATCAATCATCGGTATATGCTAAATAACATAGAATTAATTAATTAAACTAACAAAATTTTCTTAATTAGGCTGACGTAAATCCGTGTAAACCCACCTCATCCTACCCTTTTCAAACACCTAAAATATATTCCCTTCATTTTAAACTATATTTTGAACTAACAAATAAACCTGTCACCTTCTCCATTGTTGACCTTCAAAACAAAATTAAAAATAAAACCTTAGAAAATTAAAGCCCCAACAGAGAGAGAAAGAGAGAGGTTAGTTAGCTGAGCTCTCATGGGACATGAGACTAGAGCAACCTTGACGGAGGAGTACGAGGTGAAAGATGTCCTCGGCCGCGGCGGCTTCTCGGTGGTGCGGCGGGGAATCCGCAGGAGCGGCGGCGGCGGCGAGGGGGAGCAGGAGCAGGTGGCGATCAAGACTCTGCGGCGGTTCGGGCCGTGCAGGCCGGAGAGGAAGGTCTCGGGGGGCCTGCAGCAGGCGTCCAAACACGCCTTGGTATCGGAGTCGTTGCTGACGAACGAGCTGCTGGTGATGAGGAAGATCGTGGAGGACGTGTCGCCGCATCCCAACGTCATCCACTTGTACGACGTCTGCGAGGACGCCGCCGGCGTCCACCTCATACTCGAGCTCTGCTCCGGCGGGGAACTCTTCGATCGGATTGTGGCTCAGGAGAGGTATGTATGCTCGCACTATTTTTAAGTTAATAACTCTATAATTATAATTTGTACACGACATACAAGGGTACTTCACTCCCATAATATATTCTTGGAATAAGGGTCAAATAGGTTATTGAATTGCACCCAATAATGCAATTAGGCCACTGAATAAAAAAAACAACAATTAAGCCACTAAATTAAGCAATTTCATTCAATTATTCTAATTTACAGATTTTGTAGGTTACTAACAGGTCACCCAAACAATTTAAAATATTTTTTAAAAAATTATTATTATTATTATTTCTTGCAATAAAGAATCGAACCATATGGGTGACATTCCTAAGCTCTCCTAACATTAGTAAAATACTGGGGAGGCTCAGTTTGAAATAATAGAAAAAAATGTCAAGAAGTAACATTACAAACAATAGCAAACAAAACTGCAACACTTTTTCACATATGATGGATGACACAGGTAATAAACTTCATGCCAATAATTGAAGCAGCTGCCTCATCAGATCTACCATTTTTAAATTGTGCTTCCTTCGCGGCCATCTATGATGAGCTTTTTGCAATGTATTCTCACCAACCTTCTCCCTTTTTGACACTCCAAATTCATGGCACCAGAATAAGATCCACTGATCATCCTCTTCTTCATCGAACTCATCACCGTATCCTAACTCGGCATCGCCTCGATAACCTGGTTCACTTCGATAGCCCGATTCAAATTATTATTTAAAAATAATAAATTAAAATTAAAAAAAAAAAAACTCGTCTCTACCGGAGACGATTTCTTCGTTTCCGGCAATGGAGACAAAGAAAGTTTCTTCGTCTCCGCCCAGAGACGAAGAACCTTCTTCGTCTCCACGGTCGGAGACGAAGAAACTCTTCGTCTCCATGGCCGGAGACGAAGAAACTCTTTGTCTCCATGGCCAGAGAAACTCTTCGTCTCCATGGCCAGAGACGGAGAAACTCTTCGTCTCCATGGCCGGAGACGGAGAGTCTCTTCGTCTCCGGCCATGGGTTCTCTTCGTCTCCGGCCGGGGACGAAGAGTTTCTTCCGGCCATGGAGACGAAGAAACTTTCTTCGTCCATGGCCGGAGACAAGAAACTCGTCTCCGGCGGAGACGGTTAATGTTTTTTTTTATTTTATTTTATTTTATTTTATTTTATTTTAATTTTAATTTATTATTTTTAAATAATAATTTTTTAAAAAATATTTTAAATTGTTTGGGTGACCTGTTAGTAACCTACAAAATCTGTAAATTAGAATAATTGAATGAAATTGCTTAGTTTAGTGGCCTAATTGTTGTTTTTTTAGTTTGGTGGCCTAATTGCATTATTGTGTGCAGTTGGATGGCCTATTTGACCCTTATTCCTATATTCTTTTATCCAAGAAACTTGTGTAAGACACATTTTTTTCATACCACATCTGGTATTATTTATTATTGTGACTAATTTAGAACGGGTTTATGTCACGTTTGTAATGTTTGTTTTATATTCGAAAAAATCAGACTCAAAACTCTTTAATATGATGCACCTTTCAATCTAAGTAGCTAGGTGTAATATAATAACAATCCTTTTACTTTCACTCAGTGGTGCACCTTGCCTTCTTGAATGATCATACTCTTGGATGGTGAGGTTGTGTGTTGGTTTTGGGTGTGTGACATTGTCCATATTATCTCTCAAATGTGCTCAAAGAGTGTTTGACAAGTTTAACTCTTGAGATGTTTTTGGAAATTGTCTCTTTACATCGTGTGAGATTGTATGCATAGAGCCAAGTTAGATTTACATTCTTGTGTGCTTGAATGGATTTGACCTGATCATCTCTTGATTCTCTTGGACTTCGATATCTTGGAGTCTTCGAAGTGTGAGTGTGCATGAGTTATGTTTGAGAAAGATAATTTGGCAAGATCCGAAATTGCACAAATTTTTGGTGTGACATGGGACAAAATGTGAGATTTTCTTGTGTGAACTTATTTGATTCCCTACTCCCCAATGAAAAAGGTAAAAGGGGTTGAATGTGGAAAGACTTGTGGGAAAATCACTTGGTCAAATCAAGAAAGGCATGGGAGTTTTGAATGTAAAAGTCGTTTTCTTTAGGATAAAACTAGTTGGATGAACAGATGAAAGAATTTAGAAAAATGTAATATTAATTGATACATAATACCATAAAATATATGAAAAGGTATAACGAGGCAAGAGCGGCAAAGGTAGTTGGGCAGATAGCGAAAGGGCTAGAGGCTTTACACAACGCCAACATTATTCACAGGGATTTGAAGCCGGAGAACTGCTTGTTCTTGAGCAGTGATGAAAATTCTCCCTTGAAGATCATGGATTTCGGGCTCAGCTCCGTCGAGGATTTCACCGATCCCGTCGTCGGACTGTTCGGTTCCATTGATTACGTCTCGCCGGAGGCTCTTTCCCGGGACAAAATCACGCCCAAGATTGATATATGGTCACTCGGTGTTATCCTCTATATCATGCTTTCCGGGTATATATGCTTATATTATATCATTCTCAGCTCATTTTTATCATTATACTTATCTTCAAGTTAAAAATTAACATTTCAGATATCCGCCTTTCTTCTCCCATAATAATCGACAAAAGCAACAAATGATCACAAGTGTAAGTATTTCGATCAATTCCTTGTTCGTTCATTCAATTTAAGATATTCCTAGCTTTGTTATATAATTTGATGTGGTTAATTGCGCAGGGAGAATTCAGCTTTGATGAGAAAACCTGGAAAAACATTTCTTCCTCCGCGAAGCAGTTGATTTCCAGTCTTCTGTCTGTTAACCCTAACATGCGCCCAACTGCTCGCGAGGTGCGTGCTAGATTTGGAATCCATCCATGCCATTAATATAATGGAATTATATGGATCGGAGTATTGATTTCTGATTAGAATAAATTTTTAATTTGGTGAGGTGTGTAGATTGTTGAGCATCCATGGGTGACAGGGGCACTAGCGAAACAGGATGAGATGGACGCGGAGGTAGTGTCTCGGCTACAGAGCTTCAACGCGAGGCGGAAGTTTCGCGCGGCGGCGATGGCCAGCGTTCTCAGCAGCAGCTTCTCCTTGAGAACTAAGAAGCTCAAGAGTTTAGTTGGTTCCTACGACCTCAAGCCAGAAGAGCTCGAGAATCTCAGCCAGAATTTTAAGAAAATGTAAGTGGATCATTGTTCCTCCTTCAATTTCCCTGAATTAGGTCAAAAACGGTTGAGTTTAACGGCGGCGAAGTGCAGATGCATAAACGGAGAAAATGCATCGTTGTCGGAGTTCGAGGAGGTGCTCAAGGCTATGGAGATGTCGTCGCTGGTCCCTCTGGCTGCCAGGATATTCGATTTGTTCGACAATAATCGCGACGGCACCGTTGACATGAGAGAGATCATCGGAGGCTTCTCCAGCCTCAAATACTCACAGGGCGACGATGCTCTCCGCCTCTGTTTCCAGGTCTCTCTAATTACTTCCATCCTCGATCTTCAACTTTTGCTTAATTTTGTTTCCATTAATTCCCAAATTAAAATTGGTGCATTATTGATTTTGTCTGTAAGATGTATGATACTGATCGATCGGGATGCATTAGCAAGGAAGAAGTAGCATCCATGCTCAGAGTAAATTTCATTTTTATCAGCTTTTTCAGATTCAGGCAAACCCTAACATATTCTTATTAAGTTCCAAATCATACGTGCAGGCACTTCCCGACGATTGTCTTCCGGTGGACATCACGGAGCCGGGAAAACTGGACGAAATATTTGATCTAATGGATGCTAACAGCGACGGAAAAGTCACATTCGACGAATTTAAAGCTGCAATGCAGAGAGATAGCTCCCTCCAAGACGTAGTCCTCTCCTCCCTTCGCCCAAATTGATTCCCATTCAATACTTAGAAATTTGTGACGATATTCTTATTGTCACAAACTTGAGTTCTAATGCATGTGGAGTCATGAAGACATGAAACAACTTCTTTTACTGTTTGAAAATCGTTACATTGAAAACTTGAAAGTTATATATACTGAGCTACAGTTATAGACTTGAAATTCATTTTTTTAAAATAGTACTAATTATATACTATATATTCTACCTCACGTCTCTTAGCATTGCGCTATACCGTACCATTTGATGAATCCGCTATCTCTAGCTTTCCCTAGTTTACAAAAAAAGTGTTAACAATGAAGTCATGCAATGAAGCCGAGGAGCATCGGTTTGAAGTTACTGATTGATAAGTTATATATCCCGAGTTTGTGACATCACTTGCAGTCGGGTCGGAGTCTCGCGGTTCGGATCTTGGCCTACGGGTCGGGGTCAAAGGTGACGGGTCAAACCCGAGATGGGTCAAACCCGCCACCTTAGGTGTATTTAAGGGCCTAAAGCCCTTTGTGGCAGGGAGGCCATTTTGGCCATCTCTCGGCCCCCTCTCTCTATAGCCATTATCCTCATCCTTCTCTCTACATTTACATACAAGCACAACATTAATGAATGTACTAATAGAAGATGTATATATGTATATGAATGTATAATATATATATATATATATATATATATATATATATATATATATATATATGAATGTATAAACAAGAAAGAAGAACACCAGAAAGTAGGTCCAAAATCCTCCTTTCATTATTTTCTATGTAATCAGTGTTTGAATATATATATATATATATATATATATATATATATATATATATATAGTTCTTTTTGAATCATTGTAGTTATTTTTGTACACAATTCCGATTGTCATTTCCTTTAAATTTTCATTTTCACATGTAATTTTATATATTGCAGAACATATGTGAATTAATTTGAAAACACTTCCGATTGAAATGTGTGTTCTATAATTTTGTTTCAAATCTTTTTAATTATTCATCATGAGTACATTTGTTCTATCAAGCTCACCCTATCAAGAAACAAATCTATCAGAGCTCATCATATCAAGAAGCCTATTAAAGCAAATCTATCAGAGCTCATCCTATCAAGAAGCCTATCAGAGCTCAATACTCACCCTATCAAGAATAGATAAAAGGGGTGACAAAAAGCCACTTATCTTTCAATTCATACCTATAAGAAATTTTGAAAACATGGACTAATTGGGTGACAAAAGCATTCTGAAATCTCTCCAAAAAAGCCACAAGTGTGAATTAATTCTCTCCTAATCGCTTTGCAGATTCGAGGAGTGCTTTGCAGACTCGTGGACTCGAGGAGAGCTTTGCAGACACGTGGATAGGAGAGCTTTGCAGGACACGTGGATAGGAGAGCTTTGCAGACACGTGGATAATTCAATCAGTGTTTGAATAATCATATGTAAGTTGCAACTTAATATTTGTTTTTGCTCCAGAATGGGGTCTAGAAGGGAGAAGATACACTTGGAGGTTACCTGTTCGCGGTGCTACCACCCTATAAAGGCTACTTCTTTGGCCGATGTACATATTCAAATGGATAGGTGTAGGCGTTTGCATGCCAACCGCCCTGCTGCTGTGGCCAACCCCTGCTGATGTGGCCAACCCTTGATGAGGATGAGGTGGCTGAGATTATCAATGGCTTGTAAATCTCGATGGCTTGTAAATTGATTGGGCCCAAATAGACGGCCCAAAGCGGAATTTCATTTCATAATATATATAGTGGAAATTTTCGGTTTTAATTTTTTCGGATTGCGTGAAATTCATTTCTCCGGCTATTATCATTGGTAAATCTTTCTCTAATCGCAAGTATTACAGATTTGATTTCATTTCATTTTTCATCGGTAAATCGCAGGTATTATAGATTTGATTTGATTTCATTTTTCATCGGTAAATATTAGTTCTCTAATCGCAAGTATTACAGATTTGATTTCATTTCATTTTTTTTTGTTATTTTTCTTATTGGACTAATTGAATTGCGAACACCAAAAGGACTCAGCGTTGTGAGGTTTTCCAAAAAAGCAAGCCAAAGCCTGCACCAAACCATGCGCCAAAGCCTATCAGAGCTCAGTGTTTACCCTATCAAAAAATCTATTTGAGCTCGTTAGAAGCCTATCAGAGCTCATGCTCACCCAATCAAGAAGTCTATCAGAGCTCAATGCTCACCCTATCAAGAAACCTATCAGAGCTCAATGCTCACCCTATCTAGAAGCCTATCAGATTAGCCTCTGTTCAATGCTAACCCTATTAAGAAAGCTATCAGATTAGTCCTATGCTCAATGTCACCCTATCAAACTCAGTACTCACCCTATCAATAAGTCTATCAAAACTTAGTGTTAACTCTATGAAGAAGTGGAGCTATGACTTTATTATAATTTTTTAAAAACTCATGATTTTCCTTTTTCCCATTTTCATATATAAGAATCTTATTGTATCGTACTATTTACTTTTTTATTTTTTTAAAATTTATTATTAAATATGTTAGGTCGGTCACAGACCTTGACACCAACTTCAATCTCACGTCAAATGTTGTCATGTGATAATATAAGAATTTCACCTACCTTGTTTGATAAAATAGTTAGTCAGTCAATTAATTTTAGTTTGTTTGACTACTATTAGCTGTTTGACTTGGTTAAACAACTAATATGATTGTTTAATTAATTATTTTAAAAAAAAAAATTGTTCAAATCATTATTTCGATAAGCTTTTTGAGAAAGTCATTTTGTATGTAATCAGCTATAATCAAACGTTTAATTTACTAAACATCTTTCTATAATCAGAACAGAAGTATATAAGCCGACCCAAATAGATGACCCAAAGCGGAATTTCATTTCATAATATATATAGTGGAAATTTTCGGTTTTAATTTTTTTCGGATTGCGTGAAATTCATCTCTCCGGCGATTTTATCGGTAAATCTTTTTCTAATCGCAAGTATTACAGATTTGATTCATTTCATTTTTCATCGGTAAATCGCAAGTATTACAGATTTGATTTCATTTCATTTTTCATCGGTAAATATTAGTTCTCTAATCGCAAGTATTACAAATTTGATTTAATTTTATTTTTTTGTTATTTTTCTTATTGGACTGATTGAATTGCGAACACCAAAAGGGCTCAGCGTTGTGAGGTTTTCCAAAAAAAGCAAGGAGATTGATTTTTTGCATGAAAAAAAACATATACAACTCAGAAGGGGCGACCCGAATATTTGGACCGACTTGACGACGTGTCTAATTACGTTTCCGCGATAACCCCAAGTCCCTACTCCCTAATTCAGACTTCAGTCTTCAGAAATCAGAGAGACATAGAGCCGCGCCGTGACTTCGCCGAGTCGGACGGAACTCGGAAGACGCCACCGGACGGACGACGGACGACGCCACCGGCCCACCGTTCCTCGCCAGCCCGCCCAGCCGGCAGCCGCCTTCTCCGTGACCTCCGACAGTGCTGTTGTTATCTGACTCCGTGAGGACCGAGGACCGTGACCTCCGTGGCTCCTCCGACTGCTACCAGCGGCCAGCCGTCCAGCCTACCACAGTCCTGATCAAAACCGACAGTAGTACAGTCCATGTAATTTTTTTATTAATTAATATTTTATTTAATTGTTAATTGCTAATTAATATTCTTCAAGTTTTTATTAATAAGAACCATAGTTCACTAATTGTTATTCTTGAATCTTGATGTATGTTATTAACTTATTCTAATTGTTATTCTTGAATCTTGATGTATGTTATTAACTTTTTCAAATTGTTAGTCTTGAATCTTGATGTATGTTATTAACTTATTATTGTTGATGTGTTGTTAATAATAGATTAGTAGATTAGTGAGTATAATAACGTTTGTAATTAAAATGTGAATGTTTTGAAGCAAAATGACTGTTGGGAGCATTTAAGGAACTATCTTCATAGCACTCTTATTGACAGCTCTACATAGGGATGTGCAAACTTTGGATAATTTCGGTTAATCGTTTTCGAACTGAACTTTTTCGGTTCGGTTAATGGTTAAAAGAATTTTAAAATTTTGGTTAACGGTTAATTCGGTTCGAAAGATCGGTTAACCGAATTAATCGAACGGTTATCCGAATTAACCGAACGGTTAACCAAAGTTTTTAATATATATATAAATAATAATATAAATATAAATACTAATTTGAATTTATGGATGTTTGGAGTTTATAATTAATATTTTTGTATATTTTGTTATGAATTTATTATGATATGTATTTTATTTTAATTCAATTTATTATTTTAGGTGTTATTTTTAGAGTTTTAAAAATTTTAGTTTTAAAAAGTTCGGTTAATCGGTTAACCGACCGATTAACCGAAAAAAATTTCGATTCGGTGAATTCGGTAGAGCAAACTTCGGTTCGGTTAACGGCTAAAATAAAAAAAACTTCGGTTAGTTCGGTTCGGTTAAAACGGTTCGATTAACCAAACGGTTAACCGATTGAACCCCCCTAGCTCTACATCTAGATTCATGATTCTATCACTATATTTGAATTTAATTATAAAATATAATTTCATTTTTTGTCATAGACTTATAGATAACAGTCCTTTTTTTGTTCCAGAATTACGATTGACTGGATATGCAAGTGGTGCGGCCATGATATGATTGAAGATAGCTATGAGGTGGCGTTGATAAAGGAAGATTGGTGTAGGCGTATGGGTCGGGCGCCAACCCCGATCCTCAGCATCTTGAACGGGAGCGGCGTATTGATCGGGAGCAGCGTCTTGATCGGGAGTGGAGTCTTGCTCGGCGGCATCTTGATCGGTAGCGGTTTGCTGGGGCCAACCCCGGTCCTGCTGTGGCCAACCCCCCTTCATGAGGCTCTTTTGGTCCTTTGCTTTGAACTTGGTCTGTGCATATTCAATTGACACCTATTGACAAACTTGAGATTTGTAATAATTTATGATTATAGACTTTGAGGTAATGTTATGTTACAGATTGACTAATTTAGATTATAAAAAAAAATTTACATTATAATAAAATATTAGGCTAGGTGGGGCTAGGTGTATTCACCCTATCAAAAAACCTATATATTAGAGCTCGATAGAAGCCTATTAGAGCTCATGCTCACCCTATCAAAAAGTCTATCAGAGCTCATTGTTCA